AGCGGCCGTACTCCATGCGGTAGGCGCGGAGGGAGGAGGGAGGGAGAGGAGGAGGAGGAGAGAGGGAGGGGGTCACGTACCTCGCTATGAAGCGGCCGTACTCCATGCGGTAGGCGCGGAGGGAGGAGGGAGGGAGAGGAGGAGGAGGAGGAGAGAGGGGGTCACGTACCTGGCTATGAAGCGGCCGTACTGCATGCGGTAGGCGCGGAGGGAAGGGGAGGAGGGAGAGGGAGGGGGGAGGGGAGGGAGGGAGGGGGTCACGTACCTGGCTATGAAGCGGCCGTACTGCATGCGGTAGGCGAAGCCGGCGCGTCTCACGCGCACGTTCTCCAGCAGGCCGAGGTAGTTGACCTGGTGGAGCACGCGCTTGTCGTCGAACACCACGGGCGACTTCACCTCGTTCGGCTTGACGCAGCGCACGTAGTACGGCGCCTGCAACGACGACGACGACGACGACGACGTTATATAGGGCGGAACGTGTCCGCACAGAGAACACTCGATCGATTTTAATAGTGAGACTATCATTAGAGCTATTATCTATACTATAATTATATTAGTATATAAACACGTAATGTTTTATAGGCCTAGGCGATGCAGCAACGACGTTATAGAGGGCAGCACGTGTCCGCGCAGAGAACACTCGATCAATTTTATTATTCGTAAGATTATCATTAGAGCTATTATCTATAATATAATTATATTAGTTTGTAAGTTTATATTATTATAGTTTATTAGTTTATATTAGTTTATAATATTATTCTAGTTTATCTATCGCTTTAGTTGTGCGCTTTAGTGTGACTGGTTGCTTTAACAGAGTTTAAATCTAGAGTTAGGGGGGGGGGGGGTCAATGGAACGCATACCTTTTGCGCCAGGTGTTCTACGAGGGCAATCATGGAGTTCTTGAAGATAGTGGCAGCTGTGGCGGGCCGTTTGGTTACCTCTCCTATGTGCTGCGCACCCTCCGGCCACATCATCTTTAGCAGTTCATCATCACTGCGAGCAAAGAGAGTGTGCACAAACCATTACATTGCTCTCTCTACCCGGTAGCTGTTTATTTACGTGCTATTAAATCGATTATCGACGCTTGATCGACATGTTTTTTCCCATGTATTCCTATGACATCAACACTTACAACACCCAGCAATGCATTACAACATTACTT